TCTCTCTCTCTCTCTCTCTCTCTCTCTCTCTCTCTCTCTCTCTCTCTCTTTCTCTCTCTCCTTCTCTTTCTTCCTTTCCTCATTTTGTTTGAGACAGTTCTCACTATGTAGTGTAGGCTGGCCTGGATTCACTATACATGCTGGCCTTGAACTCGTAGCAATCATCTTACCTCAGCCTCCAGAGTGCTGAATTTACAGGCATGTGCCACCATTTCTGGCCTATGTGGTAGTTTCTTTAGGATGTGGTAACTCCTAGTTTAAACACTTGAAAACTTATTTGTTGATTATAAAATTAATGGATGTGTTTGTAGAAAATTAGAATATTACGGAACCGCACAAAGCAGATCCAACCTAATTTGTAAACGATACCCTACAACTCCTAATACTATTGCTTCCTCCCCACACCCCCAGCCCTGGTAAAAATCACTTTCCAGAAGCACAGAAAACATTATCTCTGAAGGCTTCCTTGCTGCTTGCTCCTGGTGTCCCGAGCTTAGCCCTAACTTCCTGAATGAAGCATCCACTTCCTGCCAGGCACAGGGCAGCGCTGGGTGACCCGGAAGTGAAGGGCTGCTGTAGCCCTGTGGGACATCACAGCAGGAAAGCAGGTAGGATGTGAATGAAACGATTCTCAAACATTAGTATAAGAATCATCTGAGGGGCTGCTTAAAAAGAAGTCCTGATTTCCATCACTTTTGATAGTCACAGGTGGCCTTCAATCTGAGTTTTATGTTTTTATTTATTTATTTATTTATTTACTTTGAGCCTGAGTTTTAAACTGCTACAACAAGCAGAAACGTTGAAACAACAACCAGGATTTGGAGACAGATTTATTTTATATTGCCAGACACTGACTGGGATCATTCCCAGAATATCAGGCCCTGATCTCTGGTGGTGTAGGGCTTATATGGGATAAGCAAGCGGGAAGTGCAGAGGCAGAATGGCCTGTCAGTTGGGGATTGGTTCTTACAGTATGCACCACAGCGACCAGCCGTTTCTAGGAGACAGGAGCACCTAGAACTGGAACAGGAATGTGCACAACTGAAGTACCCTGGTGTGTATAGCGGGAGCACTTTCTGTTACAAAACTATGGAGAATCAGTTTTGGCACCATTGAGGAACTAGCTAAAAGTATAGAATCTCAGGTCTAGTTTGCAGTTACTGTATCTGAAGTTATGTTTTGGTAAGTTTCTCTGGTGATTTAAGAACACTAAGAGTCTTATCATTGTTCTGGAGATAGTTACTTCCTTGTTTTTCTTTTCAAAAAATTTTTTAAAAATTAGTACTGAAGATTGAACCCAGAGAGTGCTGAGCTACATGTGCAGTACTCTAGCCTCCCTCTGCCTCCACCTCCACATTGTTTTTTTTTACTTTGAGACAGAGTCTTGCTGAGTTGCCCAGGCTGGGTTTGAACCTGCAATCCTCCTGCCTCAGCTTCGGGAGCAGCTGGCATTACAAGCCTGTGCGATCATGCTCAGTAGAGCTGACTTTAATTAAAGCAATGCACTGAGAGTCAGTAGGTTGTGCTTCCATCTGCATCTCTTTTCTACTCTCCCCTTCCTCTTTGGGGCCTTCATGTTTTAACTAACGTTGAGGATGACATTACCCGTTACTTTTCCAGGTTGAACTTGAATCAGAGTCCAAGGAAGGAGGCCCTGGCATTGTGAGATGATGGGCAGGTAAGCTGGAATGAATGTGGACAAACGTGTGGGAGCAGTTGTCAGGGACGGGGGGTGTCCTTTGCTGCTATGTTCTCCCTACCTCCCTGCTGGGGAATATAGTAGACCTTCATCAAAGTCAGATACGTGAATGTTGAGCAAGACTTGTGGCATTTTGTGATTTTTTGTGTGTGCTGCATTCAGCAAGTGAGTCAGTTTGGTAAATGAGCATTGATTCTTAGGTTCCAGCCTCCGGAGAAAACAAGCTGTGAGCATACCCAGGCCAAGCTCAGAGCTGAGAGAGTTTTAGAAGCCGATGTGCCCTTGAACATCCAGCTCACGGCTGTTGGGGGCACAGATTATCATGAGAATGTTCCGTGCAGGCTGGGAAATGGCTTAAAGGGACTAAATCTTTAAAACTGTAAAATAAAACCCTCTCAAAATGCTTTGATCTTGTTGTTTTCAGGGTGAAAATTTGCACTCGTGTTTTCGTTGCATATTTTGCTTCTTTGGGAATTTGACTGAACGCAGTCTGGGGGAGGTGTCAGCCCTGCACTTTCTTCCTTGCTGGCTTGACTCCTGTCCCCGGGCAAAAGTATGAGGTTCCTCTTGCCCAGCGATGAGATTTCCTATTATTCTCGAAGCAGCCTTCCTCCGAGGGAACCGTGGACACTACTGTGACTTATGATGCTCCAGTTGCTGGACTCACAGTTCGGTCCTCGGCCTCCCTGGATGCGGGTACACTGCTTGCTTTGGGCTCAAGCCAGGTCTGAGCCACATCTGTCTGGCTGGGGCTGGCGGGCTGTGTTCTGACTGCTGATACTCTTAGTCATCTTTTTATCTGCCTGCGTAATCTTGGGTTTGATTCGGTTCCTGCCTTTAATACTCCCATCTGGCTTCTTTCGTTCTTTTTTATTTTAAAACGTCTGTCTGGAACTTATATGATCACCTTACGACCACTTGGCTATTTCGTGTTTGTCTTCTGCGTGGACCTTTGGGTTCACGCTGATGTCTACTGTAGAACACAGAGGAAATTAGCTGCAGGGTTTTGGCAACCCTTTGCATGACTGGAGCGTAGCAAGTCATAACTTCTTCGGTCACTTTTGTTCATAGTTGTTCAAGAAGTTATGTTGGGGAACAAAGCATCTGTCCCCTGTCCCCAAATACCCATGTTCTCTGAAGGTAACATTTGCACAGGTGCTTTAATAAAGGTTAAAGTAAAGCCTACATGACTTTAACTTTTTGGGAAGCAGTTTGTGTAGTCTACGTTTTTGTTATTAAATATTATTTCTTGATCTTCATTATTTGTCTTGATACATTTATTGAGGGGGTTCAGTACAGTGATGGCAATTGTAGTATATCTTTCCTTTATTTGAGTCTAACATTAGTGGCCAGGTTTATCAACCTCAGAGCTCGCTTCAAAGCATAACATTAAGTAAAGGGGCTTGTGGAAGTGGCTGCTGTGACGAATGTGTCTTGTATGTTGACTGTGTGATGGTTACCATGTTATACACATTTGTCAAAACTCATCAGGTTGTATACACGACTTTTGCTACATGTAAATAATACCTCAATAAACACAGAGGTAAGTAAAAATCACCCCAATCTGAGGTTTTCTTACATCTTATCTTGGGTAGCTTCCAAACCACCCCAAGTTGGTTTTTCCCTGTGCTCTTCAGGGGTTATGGTCTTGACATCACCTTGCGATGCTCTGCGCAGGTGACTGGCTTTCACCTTCCGGGCAGCGTCCCTGCCAAGGTTTGTTTGCTTTGATCATAGAGAAAGCAGATGGAGCACTAGCATGAGGGGGGCCGTAGGGGACTTGCACTCCTGTGCTTCTCAGGAATTGTCAGAGGAGCAGCCACTCAGCAGCGCCCAGATACTGTGTTTGAACGTATCTTTACTCAGCACCTATGAAATTGTCCACTATTTGACAGCAAAACCCATCACCTTATTGCTTCCCTCTGGCTGTAGTTTTGAATCTATGGTTTATGATTGTCTTCCTGAATCAAATCAGTCTGGTTTTGTTCTCATCTGTCTTCCTAGATTTAAAAAAAAAAAATAATTTAATCATTTCCACCTCTTGAAAAAGTGTGTAACCTTATTTTCTCTTTGCATACATTTTATCTCCCCCAATGAGATTTTATTTTATGGTTTAAAAATTGACTAGTACATGTTGACAGTACTTGATTACATTCATCATGGGGAATGGGTACCCGCACATCACAGCTTGATTCTTTTACAGCCCCCCAGCTCTTGTCCCCTTCCCACTTGCAAAAGATCTGTCTCCTTGTTTCCTATGATCTATATTTTATTTTGCTCTTTAAATTATACTTTCGTTTTCTCTTATAAGGGAAACCATGCTATATTTAAGCATGTGTACCTCCCTAGAGTTTAAAAAAGCAAACGAAAAAATCAGTTGTACCTTTTCCTTCTCCAGAAAAAAAACTGTGCGTGACTTTTTTTATATATTTTATATATATTTATATATTTTTCCATGCACAGTTTTTCTCCCAAATGAGATCTAAAGTCCCTGAGGGTAGGTCCCAGGCATCTCACAGGCCAAGCAGAATGATGCTGCGCCAATGTTTTTCACCTTCTTCCCGGCACCTGTTCCCCTATGAGAGCGTTTATCAGGCTTCACTAAAGTGACCCCATTGTGTTGTGATTGTGTGGAATTATAATCTCATAAACAGGCATCTGACTTTCATATTCATTATAGGCTCAGCACACCACACTGAACTTGGTAAGATACTCAAAAGGTGCACTGACAAAGCAGATTTATTACTACAAGAAGTTGAAAGAACCAAATTACCCAAACACCCTTTTGTTCTGCACATGTACTTGAAATTACCTCTTCAGACTCCATAGCTTTATTTCATAATTATACTGTGTCCCATTTAAGTTGTGTTCTCTGAGTGGAATGTTACACTCACAAGCTAACACAGCCGGGTTTAATTTGGTTCAGCATTTCTCATTTTTTTCAGTGGCAATTCATTTTAAGAAAAATATTTATCCTGAAACCAGGAAAAAAATACCAAACACCTATACTCAGATATCTGCATGCCCAGAAACCATACTTACCCCTGCCCTTAGCTTTATTCACTACTGTGACACATCCTGATATTTTCCTCTGCAGTTTGTTCTATTCTGTTTTCAAAACTATAGGTTATTTGAATCCACTTTATAGATCTCATGATTTGTTACTGCAGTTGGAAAAACACCTGTTTGATCTATTGATTGATCACTGACATTATCACACACCTGTTACACACCTGTATTGAGAAGATAAAACAAGAGTTCTGAAATGCAGATTTGGACACTGGATGTGGTCAGGGGAGCAATAACCAGTGAAGAAAAGACCCAGGCCCCTGGATGGATGGAAGAGGAGTGCTCCCAGCAGGCAGATGTGAGAAGAGGGGAACCAAGGTGAGCCTTTTCCCCCCTGTATCATTAATCCAGCTTACACCCATCTTTCCAGCCAGACAAAAAGTACTTTTGGGGCAGGAACCATCATATTTACCAAGCTCTCATGCTAGCCCACTAAGGCACTGTCATTCCTGCCATTGGTGCCCTTCTCAAATTCCTGCCGTCCCTTTCCTTCAGTATAAGACCACCCTGTAGCAGCTTCTAGCCTGGGGCTCCCCACGGACCAGGTTGGAGCTGTTCTCCTGCTAAGACCACATCCTCTCCTCACTCTGCTGTCCTCCTCTGCCCATTGAGCTTCTCTTTCTCAAAGAATCACATTTCCCAGAATCTGCACCTTGGGTTGTGCTCCTAAGGCCTTGTTCCTTCATCTTAGGATGAGAAGGTTCCAAACAACTTGTGATATTGTTTAAATAGTCCCTAGGACAACTCCTGCAGCCAACCATTTATCGATGAGGACCTTTAGGCACAGAGAACTCACGTGACCCAGCATTGTCCTGAGATTTCCACTGAGCCAGTGGACTCTGTGTGTGAGCCCTGGGGACTCAGGTATCTAGGCTCAGGTCTCTGTCTGCCCTACTGGACAAGTGGGAATGCTCCTGATGGATAAGGGAAGTGACCTGTTCCCTAGTTCTGCACGTTGACTTATTTATTAGTACTACTGAAGTTATGCATGAGCTTATTTAAAAATTTGAAATGTGCAACATACTTAGAAATATTTATTAGCTCTTCGAAATGTTGTGGGTAGATAGGGGAAATTTCATCTTCTCTCTTATCAATTCAGCAAAACAGACTTTATTTTAAAGATAAAACTCACATGATGATAGATGATGATTGTCTAGTCTCAGTTTTTCACCGATGTGGCTAAGCCAAAGACATTTGATTGAAAAATCTGCCTGTGATGGGAGTTGGATTCCAATTTGCAGGAAGTCATTTGTTCACTGACAAGGTGAATAGTTTCTAAGCTATGGAGAGATGAGGAGAGCATTTGTAGTCAGTGAGTAACCATTGTTCACCCTTTGAAAAACATTATTCTGGTTTTCTATGTTTCATTTATTAGCTCTGCAGTTGATGCTGCTTGTTCTTCTGTAGCTAGATTGTGACTTACTGTGGTCAACATCAGATATTCTTATCACAGTGCAGGATTTTTAGGGTTTCTTTTTATTACCGAATTTGGAGTATTGAGCCCTGGGTTATTTCCTGCCCATAGTGGATCTAAGAAATAGACTAGCACAGTGATTAAACACACTTTAGTGCCTGACCCCGTTTCCATTTTCTAGTCGTGTAACATGAAGTAGGCTATTTAACAGAGACCTGAGCTCACTGATTGATCTTCAAAATGAGAGTAGCAATACTTTTCACTGCACAAGAGTGTGATTATAGTTCAGTAAGATAATAAAGGTAAGATGTATAATACAGGACATAACATGTAGGAAGGTCTCATGGCAAGGTGGCTACCACCCATGTTATTGTTGGTGTGCTTCTTGATGTTTATTTAATCCGCCATCATTGATTCTTTTTCTTTTGATTATAGTACCCTGATTTCCTTTTGGGAATATTGTGGGCAATTTTGATAGGATTCTTATGAGAGGTGA